AATCTACACTCATGTCAGACCTTTTTGGATTTTCCAACATTTGTGGCGATCATAATAAAAATCCTTACATTTTTGTCACTTCTTAATCATTAACAAATTTTGCTTAAAATATTAATTCAACCTACAAGAAACTTATTTAAAATTTAATTTTAACTTTTCTAAGCGAAACAACTTGAATACGAAATCTTTCATTGCAATGCACATAGTTTACCGCAAATCGTTTAAATTCTTGTTAAAGACGATTCATCGCGCGTAATTGTTTATTGTAATTTACGAATTTGAATTTTTCTCGTGGTACAAGCAATAGATTTTTTCCATTTCATGTTCTTCTATACAATTACATGATCTTAATATTAATTGACATTTACATACAATGCAACAGATTAACTTGGTACGTGCTGCCGTGTGCAAAAAGTGTATGCCATTAATAAATTGAATAAAAATCGAATTAGGTGCTTTTAAACGTGTCGTTTTTCAACCACTGAACATTTAAAAATTTGTTTAAGTGGAAGAGTTTATTCATTTTTGGAAATAATGAGCTGTTAACATATTTGGCAAGTTCTTTCGAAGACAAGAAAGTACTGACCGTCTTTCTCGTGATTGTTTTAGTAGTAGGTAAGTAATAATTACAATCTGCTCAGTACTTGTTTCCATCGTCCTAGCCCATTGTACACGGTGCAGTCTTATGTCAATTAAGATGCCAGGGTTACCTCATACCAATTAAACTAACCTAACTGGATCACATACACCTCAATTAAACCACTGACATGTGCCACAGGGACCACCTTCTAAAACAATTAATTAGCAAATGGTAATCCGGGAGACGTCGAGTGGTATAACCTTGCTATTCGGAATGATTATTAATTGTTGAAATTTGACATCATACGACAGTGATTGTATAGGAAAGTGACAGCGTGAAATTGGGATAAAAAATGTATGGCATGAATTATTTGAGATTAGAAGATTTTTGCAACATAGTCAAGTCGAAACAATATCGTCTTCTAGTAATTTTGTATGTAAAAAGATAAATGTTATTTTAAAAATTAATAATACTTTAATTTTAAACGCGGAAAGTTTTCAGAAAATTCAAGAAAGAGGCTATGTCGTTTGTATTAGTTTTTAATATAATAGCACATCTGTGTAAAGCATGATAATAAGGTAGGTACAATATTCGCAACCATACAATTTACCCTTTAGACTGTCAATGTTCTATATATATCCAGTAATTTATTATTCGGACAATGATTGATAAGATGGACCATTAAAGGTATTTTTGTCCATTATGGGTATTTCTGTGAAAGAAATGTTCCGTAAAGAAATTATCTCCATCCGATTCGGCGCATCATTAGAAAAATGAGATGGAGTAGCGTAGTACTTTACTAATTTCAGCATTGAAACAATTTAAAAGGTTCTCTGGTGACTTGAAATGAATTTAATCTTTTACCTCATCAATCAAATTCTTCCGGGTGGTAAATGAAAAATCGTAACAGAACGACGTAAAAGTTTACAGTTTACACGAGTACCGCTAGGATTTCTAACCACTCCCTTTACGGCCGCAATAAAATAAATTACTTTCCCCGTGAAAAAGAATCTTAACTGCAATCAGTTGACTAGAATGCGGAGGAATTCAAATTCCCGACGGTGTACATGTTAATAAGTCAGTCTTCGTTTTTAATACCTTTCCATTGTTACATGGAGTACATGAAAAATGGCATCTAAAGGCGTAAAAGTTTACATCCGTAGTACAATCAAGTCTTATGGTTTATTTTATTATTGTAATGCAATAACTCGTTTGTAGACGAAATAAATGACTTCGATTTTCTTACCACTTCCGAGTGCACTAGGGAGTAATTTTTCTCTTTACCACATTTGTATGAATATCCCAAATTAAGAATAATCACGAAGAAATTTTACTTGCGTTTACTTCTTACTTCATCGCACGTTTTTTATTTTGGGAAGCCGAAATATAATTATTTTTTTGTCCGAATAATTTATTTACCCCAGGAAGAAAGAAACCTCAATGTCCCATCTCGAAGTTCGAGCGAACCGGAATTACTCATTTCTTTCCACTCGTTTATAACAATTTCACGTTCAGCTCATTCCATTTCTGTCGTAGTGTGGACTTGAATACTTGAATGTACGTACAAGATAAGTGGATCTATTGGAAATAATTTTTTTAAAGCTGATTGCTCCTATAAAGGCAAATGATGTCAACTCAGAAATACAAGCAGTGGCAGTATCTTTTGGGAATTTAACTTAATTCATATTCGTCGTTCCTTATGTTTTCCTAATCTTTCATCCAACATTTCGTGGTTACGTTCTGATAAACAAAATTCAATTTTCAAGTTAAAAAATCCTTTATACTGCCTTAAAATAAAATAGCTTATCTGTCCATCGTTTCTTATTAAAATTATTACTAGACAATTTTATACCACTTCCTTATTAACCCCTTGTGCTACAATGACGAGCTAGATTCATTCAGTAAGAATGTTTCATAATTAAATCGATGCGCAAGGGGCTAAAATGAAATCAGTCGCGGCGTGAAAAATAATTTCCTTTATGACGTGAGAGTCGCAGAAGGATAACAAAGAGCTGAAACTCCTGTGCTGCTCTACAATTGAATTTTACTTCATTGTTGACTCCGCCACTCCAATAAACCCCATTTTAACGTAGAAATGTTTTTATCCCCTTCTCTGTACTCCGTTTCAAATAAATTGAAACGCCATGCTTGTCTCCGGGTTTCCATGCGATATTCTGCACGTCCATTAGCGTAATTAGTTAAGTAACTCGTTTATGAATCTTATATGCGAGTGATATAGTTGAAATGTTGCTCTCTAACGCTTTGAGTGCAGTCATACGTAATTCGATTTTCCACCAGTTTTATATTTTAAAAGAAATTAAATACCTTTTACGGACGGATTCATTGCCCCAGTAAACCCCGTAATTTTGCTAATCATACGAATGAGTCATTTCAATTTCCATTTACTCTCAGCATCAGAGAATTGCACATCCCACTTCAATCTCCATTTGGATACATCCATCGCAAAACTGACTTTTAATCTTGACACACAAAAAGTTTTGGTACGTTCATCACAGGGCGTAGAGCTTCCTCTCTTAAAATCCTTCTTCAGGAAGATTTAATTACTTTACTCCACGTTGATAATGTCTTTACTCCTTATTAGGGGCTGTAATCTTGGCGGACTAGAAAGTGCATGTCTTCGGAGAAATTCAAACTGGATAATAAGTTTCCAGCGATTATTTCACTTCTCTCCTTGCATAGAAATTCTTTCTGCAGTTTCTTGCTCTTAATTATTTTAATAAGCGTAAATATTTAACCGACAAGTGGCAACAATTTGCCCGTTACTCGCCTTATTCTGAGAAATCAGACCTTACAACTGTGTTTAAGGTGATGTAAAACACGTCGAGTAACTTGATCGACGTAGGTAAAGAAGATTTTTCTAAATCCCTACACTGCCGATGTTCGTTTATATATTGACAGCTGTCTTGAATTATATTGAGTATTGCACTAAATGGCATATTCAATTTGTCGTTTTTGTACAAAAATTATAACGAAATCGAAGGAAAACTCCAGAAATCCCCTGGATTCATGGTTTCTGAGGCCCTAATGCGCCATCTGTGTTTCCGTGTCAACTAAATTTTCACTCCGAAATCTCGTATTACCATTGTTTTAGCATAGCAGCGTATAAGACACTTTTTTGCATTTATCCCGTTAAAATGAGAGTTTCTCGATTACTGGAATGTTTTAAATTATTGTGCAATTGTCCTGACACCTTCGTTTCTCATATCCGCTTTCAATACGTGTATATCGATCGTAGTATGAGAGTTCGACACCATTTTGGTTCTGATCTGGATTAAGTCAAAAAAGTTTTGTTCGAAAATCCAAATTTTGAAAGTGTAAGGACAATTCTTAAGTAATCATAAATCACGTGACAAAGTTTCGAACGGTTCGATTTTATTTACGCCGTTTGAAAATGAGCGCTGAGATAAGTTCCTGGCGGGTAAATTCAGAGTTCGTTGAATTTGCACCACGCACGAGTTTAAATAAGAAGAACAATAACAATTTATTGTACTAATAAAATAACGGATTGAGGATACAATTTGTCGATATGAATTCGCGGTACAATCGCGTGTCCGGGTGACGCCCTAAGTCCTAGGGCGGAGACAAAACATCTGAATTGTTCAAAGTCCGAGTTGAGTCTAAATCTTAAAAAGGAGGGAAAGTTGCATTCTCGATGCACTTTCTTCCCTTTCCTCCGTCGAAACCTAGGAAGAGATGCACTTGGAATGCCGAGCCCTGATTGGTAGACTTTAGGATAGCATTTCCCAAAGGTTCGTTTCTCCAGGACGGCACAGACTTCCTCGAATCCTGGAGAAAGTCCGCGATGTCTGTTAGCCTATACGATACCCTTTTGGAAATGCGTCGTCAAGACAGACCCTGAAGTGGCCACTTTGAAGACCCCCCTGATCGGGGACATAAATGCCGAGTCCTTTCTTTAGCTATTTTCTGACGACGGGCGGAACACTCCTTCGAGGAAGAGTGACCAAATGTTGCTCAATTGTTCTTCGGGCCGCCTCACTCCAATCAGATGGTTCAACAGATCCAATACCCTTAAAAAAAGTGACTTATTCGGATCGACCGATTTGAGGGGGGGTTTTACTTCACCTTAACCATACCACGATTGATCCTAAGAACCTTGGGAAGTTTTCGGAGGTGAAGGTCTGCAGAAAGATCCAAAGTGGATATCAAGTCTCGGGTGATAATTTAACTCCTTTCCCTGCAGCGAAGTTCGATACGTCTTCTAATCGTGTTTTATAATCTTGTAAAACCAGCACTCCGGAGCCCTGGCGTTACTTAAATTATCCCGATAAGCGTAATCGCCCGCCGGTAAGCGGCAAACGTTCGTTCCTTGCTCGACACATATTGCAAAAATGACGTGACAGCGAATGCGTTCAAGTGAATCATAAGTGAGCCTATGAACCTTGAGAAGGTGTTTTTCGGAGGGGTGGAAGGTGAAGGTCTTCGGAAAGATTCAAAGTGGATAGCAAGTTGCTTGCCGGACACGCCTGTGCTAGACTTGAGTGACTTGAGTCACCGTGTGATTGGTCCCCGTGATTCCGTTGTTATCACCGTGCTGTGAAACCGGCATCCACCTGCCCAGCACCTTCCACCTGCAGAACAGCTGATTGAACGTCATCCTGAACTGCCGGCTCATGGCGCAGTAGAGGATGAAGTTGATGGCCGAGTTGATCAGGGCGAGGATGTCCATCACTTCTCCTGAAACCATACACAACGATTAAACATCCGTATACTAAACAAAATTAACATTTAATTAGTAGATTACTGTTACCAGATGCGCGGGTTAAAAGATTTCTAATCATCGTTAATGCGAAAGTTGGGTTAATACGAGTTAGTAGCGTGCACCTATAATGTAAATATTACATAATGGTATTACTATGAAGGCTCTATATAGGGGAAAATAAAGCCTCCGGTGGATATCTACTTGTATTTCTTCGGGGTTAAAAACAAATTCGTACATGTATATTTAAACATTTACCGAGCAAAGTATAGATACTAAACGGAAAGAAGACTTTCCATTTTCCAACCAATGATTAACGCGTCTGTCCATTACAATGTCGAGGTTTTAAAAACTGCAGGGGTTAGAAAACTGTCCTAAGAAAATTATTTCCATTTACTAACCTGACAGGTAGATGTAAGACATTTTTGTGAAACATCGCAACTGTCTGTATCTTCGCTAGGAATACTTGTCAGGTACGGAGGAAACGTGACGTACATTCAAACCAGACGGTAAAATAACATCTCTACGTCGTTTTCAAGTACCGGAAGTGAGCTCGAAGGTTCCTCGGCTAAGATGAACGTGTTCAAGAGGAACTTCCGAGGTTTGGCAGATCAAGAAGAGGTCGGACGAGGTTCATAACGAGCGCGGATAATTCAATGGCGGCGTTAGTATCGTTATTAGAGCGAAATTGTATTTGCTTATTGATATCTCGTCATTGGACGATCTTAACAGCGTTATGTAACTCGATGAGTCCATTTTTGATGTGTTCCATATTGCACGCATATCTAGCCGAGTCGAAATATTCAAATTAAGTCCTGAACGTTCTGATGTGTTCATTTTACATAAAAAAAACTGTTGCGAAACTTGTGCGAGAAAATGCGAGTTTATCGACTACCAGAGTGTTCTAAATTGTCGTAAAATTGTCCTGACCATTTCGATTCTCATGTCGGAGCCTTCGATAATTGTAAATTGATCGAAATATGAGAGCTCGACGCCATTTTGATTCTGGCCTGGGCTGAGTTAAAAAATTGTTTAAAAAAATTCAAATTTTGAATGTGTCAGGACAATTCTTAGATGATCAGAAGTGATGTGTCAGAGTTTCGGACAGTTTGGTCTAATACCCTGAAAAAAAAAGTGTCGTATTCAAATCGACTGATTTGAAGGGGATTTCACTTCACTTTAAGGTGATGTGAAAATGACAACACAGAGGTCTCGTTTCTGAAACTTGGATATGGAGGCTGTAAGGAAGGTCCTGACTCTCATGAAATTTGAATTGTTAAAAACTTATTTATAGATATTAATTAGATTTTTTATTAAAAATAAAATTTCATGGGTGTCAGGACCTTTCTTACGGCCTCCATATTCACGTTGTACATATTGAAACGATTCGGTACACTTAGGTCGGGAAAAAGTTTTATGAACAATAGACCCCTCGGATGTCACTTTCACATCCCCTTAAGGTACTTAAGGGGTTACACCACTTTGACGCACCCAAAAATTACGGTTTTTTAAAGAATTTTTTTTAAGAGTTAAAACGTTTTTATCCAAATTAAAGTACAGTAAGGTATTGTACTACTATTAAACTCGCTCACTGCGAAAATCGATGATCGTGCGGTGTGCAGGTGTATAGGTGTACACACGTTTTTCTTAAAACTGCATTTTAAAAATCGGTGGGCACTCTAGCTCCGCCAATTTTCAATCAATCGTCTCGATTCTTTTTTTATTTTATTCGTCATATGTTTATCTAGCGAAATACGTATGGTTTTTTCAATGTATTGATATTCGCATTTTTTATGCAACATTAATTAACGAAATTTAGGGCAAAATACGTATCTTTCCTTTCAAATCGATGCCATTTTGTGAAAAATGCATATTTTTGAAGACGGCTACGTATTTCGCTAGCTTTTGGGCTGCAGAAACTAATTCTTTTTCGTTTATTGTTCTTACTTAAACCTGGACTGAGTTATCGTGCCCACCGCACGATGATCGATTTTCGCAGCGTTCCGGTAAATCGCCTTTCAAGCCGCCATTTTTGTAAATAAGAAAAATACAAAAAAGGCATTTTTTTTGTTTAATAGTAGTATAATACTTTACTGTACTTTAATTTGGATAATAACGTTTTAATTCTTAAAAAAAATTCTTGATAAACCGTAATTTTTGGGTGGGTCAAAGTGGTGTAACCCCTTAAAGGTGTTTCGGGACAGCTTTGGTATACCAAGAAGAGGTCGGGCAAGGTTCATAATGAGCGCGGATAATTTAATGGTGGCGGTTGGATCGGTATTAGGACGAAACTGTATTTGCTCATCGGCTTCGCGTGATTGGAGGATCCTAACTGCGTTAGATAATTCGATAAACCAACTTTCGACGTATACCATGTCGCGCGCATTGTCTAAGTCCTAGCACGCACGTCTAGTCGAGTCGAGACATCCGGATCGAGTCCTGAACTTTCCGACGTGCACGAGACTCTCCGAGGATGAGTAATTAGGTATGAATTTCACGTGTCGGCCCTGTTCAAAGTGGAATTACGCCAACTCGTTACTGCACAGTACGGAGCGCCGTTTTGCAGCTTTTACCTCGATTTGGATGCATTTCTACCTCGTTATTTTGCAGGATCTCGGTGTAGCTTTGAACACACGTTTTGGAACTTTACTTAAATACTTTGGGAACAGACCTTCATTAAGGTGAAGTGAAACCCCCATCAAATCAGTCGATTCGAATACAACACTTTTTTTTAAGCGTATTAGACCAAACTGTCCGAAACTTTGACACATCACTCCTGATCATTTAAGAATTGTCTGACACATTCAACATTTTGGATTTTTTTAAACAATTTTTTAACTCAGTCCAGACCAGAACCAAAATGGCGTCGAGCTCTCATATTTCAATCAATGTACAATTATCGAAGGCTCTGATATGAGAATCGAAAGGGTCAGGACAATTTTACGACAATTTAGAACACTCTGGTAGTCGATAAACTCGCATTTGAACGGGATAAAGGCAAAAAGAGTGTTGTCTGCGCTTCTATGCTAAAAGGATGGGAATACAAGGTCTCGGAGTGAAAATTTAATTGACCTGGAAATCACAGATGGCGCAGGGGGTCCCTTTGCGGTCAATTAGGGCCCCAGAAAGCATGAATCCAGAGGATTTCTGTACTTTCACTTCGATTTCTTTATAATTATTGTACGAAAACGACAGGTGGATTATGCCATTTGGTACAATACCCAATTTAATTCGACACAGCTGTCAATATAAAAACAAACGTCGGCAACGTAGGCATTTAGAAAAATCTTCTTTATCGACGTCGATCAAGTTTCTGGATGTGTTTCACTTCACTTTAATGCATGAGAGAGCTGACTGTTTGATGTATCGTAATGTAGATTTCGAACCCTTTATTCAATTTTTAAACGGTTTATACGATGTTTCGAGTAGAATTGTTGAGGTGTGCTGTTAAATAACGATCCATATTTCGGATACTCAAAAAGCATCGTTTTTAATATTTCGTTTTTATTTACTCGAGAACGATGCAGAGGACGTTGTCGAAATGACCAGAAACTTGTGAAAATACTGATTATATTGTTTAAAGTTTTTCGGTATGAGTGATGAGCCGAAAATATTACCTGCATAATATATTTGGAATAGAAATATGAATAGTGCAGAAAGCAAAAAGAACCCGTTTTCAAATTTGCGAGTCGTCAAGCATTCGCACGAAGAGAATTTTTCGATTGTGAGTAAAAATGACATATGCGATCCGTGTTCATATTTTCACCCAATTTCGGTTTCATTAGATGGTACGGTGCACTGGTCTCTTAACTTTCATTTTTTCGCGGCCGTAAAACCTACTTACTCCTCTAGACGAGGACTTTTTTGTATTATTTATCTCGAAGGTAGAAATATGCAATAAGGATATTTTCTTAATACTGATTATAACGTTTCAAATATTTCGGTATAAGTGGTAATGAGTCGAAAGTATGACATGTATAATATATATCTAACAGTTATTTTAATGATGTAAAAAGCAAAGAGATTTTCGAATTTACAAGTCGCTCAGCATTCGCACGGAGAGAATCTTTCAAATGTGAGTAAAAACGACATATGCGATCCGTGTTCATATTTTCACCCATTTTCGGTCTCATTAGATGGTACGGTGCACTGGTCTCTTAACTTTCATTTTTTCGCGGCCGTAAAACCTACTTACTCCGCCAGGCTAGAATTTTTTTGCATTATTTATCTCGAAGGTAGAAATATGCAATGAGGATATTTTCTTAATACTCATTATAACGTTTAAAATATTTCAGTATAAGCGGTAATGAGTTGAAAGTATGACATGTATAATATATTTCGAACAGATATATGTTAACAGTTTTTCGATCGGCGAATTTGGAAGTAAATGGCGATCACGACATCGCAAAACCGATTAATAGGCTTCCGGTAGATAAAGAGAGTTAATGGTGCAAAAAGCAAAGAGTACCCGTTTTCGAATTTGCAAGTCGCCGAGCATTCGCACGGAGTGAATCTTTCAAATGGGAATCGAAAGGACATAAGAGACTCGTTTTCGTATTTTCACCCAAATTTCCTGTCATTAGATAGTAAGGTGCACTGGTTCCCTAACTTCTATTTCCTCGTGGCAGTAAAACCAACTTACTTCGCCAGGCGAAGGTCCTTTTTCGCACTTCCCGTGCGGAGAGTAATACCGGAGCATTAGGGCAACCACGTAGATGCAATGTAAACGTTCCCGGAATCCTGGCTATCCTGTGATCTACATTCTCAATGTGGAACTTTCTCAGCTTTACGTTACTCCTCCTGGCGAAGCAATTTCCGAGGTTAAAGTGATTCGAAGGATCAGTTCTGCTCCCGAGGATATCTCTACATGCCGAAAGATTTAATCCAGACAGTTTCCCTCCAGATATTCCTTCGCTTAATTTTTCTACATTATTTACCTTGAAGGAGGAAACATGCAAGGAAGACATTTTTGAATTGA